CACAGTAATGAAGGAACCAGTTTATTACTGCAGTACTCAGCCAAATTTTACACCAAGGATATATGTATGTAAGCATAATTAAAACAAATAAACTGCTTCCAAATATTCTAATGTTATACACACCAATGAAGTTGGTAAACAGAAAACCCTTTCACAATGTTACAGATTTCATTACCATTAACAAAACACATATATTATGGACCCTTCCATAATATTATTGTTCATTCTTAAAGTAAAAATTTCAAAGGCAAAGTGTTAAGGAGGGTGACCTACTGTACTTTTAGATAAATTTGAAGTGCTCAGATTAAGAAATCAGTGCCTTTAAAAAAAATTTTATCTGTCCAAAGTTATCTGAAAGAGATTCAATTATACAACTAAAACTTCACTTAGAAAATGACCTGATTGTTGATGAAAGCCATGAATCGTCACCTAAAAAAATAGTGCCTAGCAGAAAAAAAACACCACTTTCTACTGTCAGGTTGAGATAAATAGAATACATTCGATCTAATACACAATCATGTTACAATTATATATAGCGTGGCTCATCTGAAATAATCCTCAGTTAATATGGAGGTAAGACAAACTATTCAGCTGCACTTCAACTTTAGTCTATTATTTTAGAAAAGCCAAAAACCTAAGTCAATTGAACTACAATATAACTGAAGTACTTTTTATAATAGATGCAATTTTTAACATGGCTCACCAACTGGTTCAAAAGGCCACAAGCAGAAATTTCACACCTGCAAGAGAACACATGTAATAATCCTCATAAAATAATACTACGAATATTCTTGTGATTTTGGGATTGATCATTAGGTTAAATGCCAAACTCGGGTTAGTTTGGCTTTGCTAGTATCCTAAAATGATTCTATGTGTCTTTACTGTTAACACAGAAGCACCAACAGTGAGTAGATCTTTCATAAAATTTACTTAGCAAAACAATTTTTAAAAAATATTTAACCTACAGGTATCTTTCACTTATAAATTTTATTTATATGTAAAAAGCTATTGGTGTAAAACATGTAAAGTTAAGTATATATGTACACATACATAAACATATACACACACGAACACTCTATTCTTCAAATAAGTTGCAAAAAATATCATAACACTACATAAGTAAAAATGTGTACAAAATAATATACGTGTTGTCCACAGGCTGAAATCTCTACAAGTAAACTCTGACAGGCCTAAAAATGTGAAGAGAAAATGAAATGAGCTGTATCTTCCTATAATATTTTATTTTCTATAAGGAGAATATCATGTGTTAAAATATGATATATTATAATTTACAGATTATAATAAGTAATTGTGCAAAGTTTATAAATCAAACCTTACTTTCCCACTTACTTATAATCTTAGAAATGTCCATTTAAAAAAAAAAGAATTCTGGCCCAATAATATAATTACACTCAAGCTTTTAAAAAATTATTATCCAATAAAATATTACCATTATTCTTATCTCCTAGGAAATCTTCCTGTTTCATCACTCAAAAAGCAAGTGAGGCATCTTTAGAAAGTACAAAGGAATCCCTTTTTACCTTAGTACTTTTAGCATTGTGTTACTTTTCTGGGCAGTTTTACATCTGAGTACTAGGCACGTTCATTTTCTACAACCACAATAGCTTAAGACTCTGTTCCTAAAACATGCCACAAATGTCCTAACATTCTTCTTTGCTTTCCTGGTAATACCTTCATTTTTAATTTCTGATTCCAAACATATAACATCCATTTGTGAGAAGTATGCTGGTAAAGGAACTCAAACATACTTTTCAATTTATTTATTCACAGAATTTGAAAATCAGGGCTATGAAAAATGTCTTAAAGTTGGGACAGAAGTCTGAAGTTACTGATTTATTACTATTATACGAAAAGGTTATGCCCCCTTTGAAAACGGCAACTGCAGGGCAGAGGACAGCAAAGGCAGACAAAGGGGAAACAGAGGGCACAAAGAAGCAGGGAGGAGAGAGCAGAGAGAAAGGCAGGAAAAGTTCCCTCCCATGATGAGATACAACTGAGGGCAGAAAAAGGGTCAGGGAACAATGATTTGACTAACCACCATACCTGCAGGAAGACAAACAGAACCTCAAGGAAGCCACCAAAACACACACTAACATCTACATGCAGCTGGAAAGCTGAGAAACTCAAAGCTGGGGCTGGGGGAAATCATCCACTGTAAAGGCCAGAGGGGGCTGTGGAGAATGCAACTCCATTCCAATTCCACGCCTTCCTTCTGTATGTGAATAAGAGTTGTTCTTTCCCTGACTACTCATCAAATTTTCACATACAGGCAGTTCCCAGATTACAAATGACCTCCATTCCTAAATCTGTGTTTAAGTTAAATTTGTATATAAGTCCGAAGAGTTAGGTACGGTTCTTATCTAACATCAGTCAGTCAAATGTTTATCTTACCATATAGCATACAGTGTACCTTTCTACTCATAAAAATATTGAAAGAAACACTTTGATACACTAACATCTTTAACATAATAATACAGTAATAATAATAATAATGTTTTGATGCTTGTAGCAAAGTGGCACCATTTGTTACTATGAAGTATTGTATGTACTTTGAACGCTTAATATAATAGGCTTCAAGAGGATTGGTTACAGATTAAAAGTTGGACATTCATAACTCAGGGACTACCTATAATATAAAAAAAGAGAGAACAAATGAATGCAAGCCCTTGGCTTTCTAAAACAGATGTAGCAGATTAAGGAAATATATCATACCAGAAAATAGGTAATTATCCAATTAATAATATAAGACACTGATGGTAAGAAAATATCACAGAATGTTAGGTTGCATAAAAATATAAAACTTATGCATATACATATTTAAGGTAAACTACCATAAGTCAGAGTCCCTGGATGGTACAAATGATTAATGTGCTCGACTGCTAACCAAAAGGCTGGCGGTTCAAATCCACCCAAAGGTGCCTCAGAAGAAAGGCTTAGCAATCTACTTCCAAAACCCTACGGAAAACCTTATGAAGCATAGCCCTCCTTTGACATACATAGGGTGGCCATGAGTCAGAATCAACTGAAAAGCAACTGGTTACTACAACAACGTCAGGAATACCTGTAGTGGAAACATTCACTAGCAAGAACTCCATTTTGCCTCTAGAGGGCAAACTTGGTCTTCTGGAAAAGCTCTAGCCTAGAGATGTTACTTTCACACTCTACTGAAAAAGAGGAACTAAAATTTAGGAGGCTCCCCAACTTTCTAGGTTAATAGTACCCTTAGTGCCTCAGTAAATTTCTTTCATGGCTCCACCTAGACCAAAATAAATATCTAATGATTCCATTTATACCCAAACAGTCTAATAAAAGAATGTATGTCCCTACACTCAGTAACCATTTGAAAATATAATACATGTGAATGGAAAGAAACAGGTTTATTTTAGTCTTAAAATACGTACAATGTTACACTAATGGGGCATGTATACCTACCGGGCACTGCACAATTTTTAAACATTGAAATCAAATTGGACCACTATCTTCATTTCCTGTTTCACACTGATTTTTGTATGGTACCTGATTTTTGTCACAACAACCTCAGAAAATCCATATTCGTGAAGATATGATGTCAGAGAAAAGAATAGTTCGCTCCCTAATGTGGAAACTGTGTACGTACTACTTCAAGTTGATAGTCTGCAAGGTGCCTGAGACATGTGGCGCATCATTGTATTTGCTTCAAATTTTTTAAATATCTGTTGTGGTCCTCTGGTGGTGCCATGCCTAAGGCATCTGACTACTAATCAAAAGGTTGGTGGTTCAAACCTACCAGTCGCTCTGGAAGGAAGATGAGGCAATTTACTTCCATAAAGATTTATGGGCATTCTGGTGGCATAGTGCCTAAGGCATTTGACTGCTAACCAGAAGGCTGGTGGTTCAAACCCACCAGCCACTCCTCGGAAGGAAGGTTGGGCAATCTACTTCTATAGTGATACTGCCTCTGAAACCCAAGGACAGGTCACTATGAGTCGGATCCAACTCAATGGCAGTACATTTGGTTTGGTTTTATGGTGGCCCTGTGTGTTAAGGAGCCCTGGTGGCACAGTGGTTTAGCATTTGGCTGCTAACCAAAAGGTCAGTACTTCGAACCTACCAGCTGCTCTGCAGGCAAAAGATGTGTTAGTCTACTTCCATAAAGAAACCCTATGGAACTGCTATGGACAGTTATCCTCTGACCTACAGGGTCACTGTGACTCAGAATTAACTTGACAACAGTGAGTTTGGTTTGAGTTTATATATTTGGAAATGATCTCTTCCTACTGATGAGCACAAGTTCGTTACATCAAATAAGGTCTGAAATGCTTGGGAACTAATATGTTGTTGTTGTTATGTGCCGTCAAGTTGGACCCAACTCATAGCGACCCCTCCTTGGGTTTCCAAGGCAGTATCACTACGGAAGTAGATTGCCCCATCTGGGAACTAATATAGACATTAATAACTAATATAGACATTAATGAAACTATCACAAGAATCAGACCCTAAATTAGTAGAAATGGATTGTGTGTATCTAGTCCTCTCACTTACCAAGTCCTTGGTTTAGGCAGAACATTTCAGAAGTGAAAAAGGGAAAAGTTCAACCTCATAATTTACTTAATGTTTGCTACTTACTGTTCAATCAGTTCATAACTTCCAACCTCATAAAAATCTGTGCTATAAGCAAATGCTGCCATATTCAGTTAGGAGTCAAAGTATGTGGTAAGAGTAATTAGCTAAGTGAAAGACAAAAAAAGCTATCTAAGAAATAATGGAAAGAAAAGCAAAGTTTTTTATTACTTTAAAGAATTTTCAGAACCATAAAAGATAATTCAAAATAGGTGGCCTATTTCAAAAAAAAAAAGAAAAAAAAAATCAAGGAGATTACTACAAGTATCTACAATCCCAAAAGTTTGCATCTAGAAAAATAAGACTACTCCTAGGATCTGGTGAATTATCAAGAATGCTTGAAAAGATAAGCCAAACTCTATGGCTGTACTAGTACTTACCTGCTGAATGATTTTGGAAGTTTTCTGAAGATTCTCTCTGGGAGGGACTTTACCAAATAATTTCCAACCAGGAGCACTATGGGCAACTGATTTGAGTTCCTTTGTCCTTTTTGGAAAAAGGTTTCTGAAACACAGAAAAATGATATGAATTGTGTTTTTTTTTTGGTCATTAGGGAGCTATGTAATAGTAATTTTTAAAGTGTGTTTATTCCCAAGACAAATACAAGATATGTTTAAATAAAATTATACCTACTATTGACTGTCAGGAGCTAATTAAAAAAAAAAAACTCAATTAAGAATACTTGGCTTATATAAAAATATTAGCAATATCAACAGAGATACTAGACATAAACTGGGAGAAGGACAACTGTAAATAAAATGTAAATATTTTCTTTGAATCAGCTACAAAGTACAGAATTTTACAATAAAAATGTTAAAGAACCTATGTAAAATAGTGAAAGCACTAAATAATACAATATTTTAGAAAATTATTTCAGTAATAATTGTTTCACTAATAATTTTATATTGTTTGTAACTAAAGTGTATACTGTGCAAAAGCATTTGATTGTGTGGATCATAACAAATTATGGGTAACATTGAAAAGAATGGGAGTTCCAGAACACTTAATTGTGCTCATGAGTAACCTGTACATAGACCTGGAGGCTATCATTCCAACAGAACAAGGGGATCTACTTGCTGCATAGTTTAAAATCAGGAAGGGAGTATATCAGGATTGTATTCTTTCACCATACTTACGCAGTCTGTATGCCAAGCAAACAATCCAAGAAGCTGGACTGTATGAAGAACATGGCATCAGGATTGGAAGAAGACTCATCAACAACCTGCGATACGCAGATGACACAACTTTGCTTGCTGAGAGTGAGGATGACCTGAAGCACTTACTGATGAAGACTGAAAAATACAGTCTGCAGTATGGATTACATCTCAACATAAAGAAAACGAAAATCCTCACAATTGGACCAATAAGCAGCATCACGATAAATGGAGAAAAGATTGAAGTTGTCAAAGATTTCATATTACTTAGTTCCACAATCAACACCAATGGCAGCAGCAGTCAAGACATCAGACGACATATTGCACTGGACAAATCTGCTGCAAAAGACTTCTTTAAAGTGTTTAAGAGCAAGGATGTCTCTATGAAGACTAAGGTCCACCTAACCCAGGCTGTATTTTCAATTGCCTCACAAGCATGTGAGAGCTGGATAATGAACAAGGAAGACCAAAGAGTTGATGCTTTTGAGTTGTGGTGTTGGTGAAGAATACTGAAAGTACCATGGACTCTTGAAAAAACAAACAAATCTGTCCTGGAAGAAGTGCAGCCGGAATTCTCCTTGAAAGCAAGAATGGCCGAACTTCGTCTTACCTACTTCGGTCATGTTGTCAGAAGGGACCATTTCTGAAGAAGGATCTCATGCTCGGTAAAGCGGAGGGTCAGGAAAGAAGGGGAAGGCCCTCAATGAGATGGATTGACAGTGGCTGCAATGATGGGCTGCAACAATGTGAAGTTGGCACAGGACCAGGCAGTGTTTTGTTCTGTTGTGCATAGGGTTGCTGTGAGTCAGAGCTGACTCAACGGCACCTAAGAGCAGCAACAACACGCTGGTCCTCCATCATTAGAAAATGTGTATATGTAAATTGTTTTTCCGAGGACAGGCTATACACAGGAAAGCTTACTGCAAAATAGTCTTTCTATAACCAAGGAAGAAAGTATCTTTCATTGAAAAATCTAAAAACTGCACAACAGTCAAGGATCTTACCTTATCTCTTTCCACAGATGTAGTTGATTTGATTCCTGTGTGGAAAGAGATGAAGGAGAAGCTAAAATAGCATTGATCAGAATAAGGCCAGAGGTCGACTGGAGAACACACCACCAACTGCCCATATGTAAATTTAAGTTGAAGCTCAAGAAAATTAAACAAGTTCCTGACAGCCAAAACATGACCTTGAGTATATACCACCTGAATTTAGAGACATATGAAGAATAGATTTGACACAATGAGCAGAATGAAATTATTGAACAATAACATTATATCACACACAAATACAGTGTGTTGAAGATAATTCACAAATGGTTGCAGGGAACTGCCTGAAAATCCAACCAGATTCAGAAGAGGACCTGGAATGAGGGATATGACTGCTGATGTCAGATGTATCTAGCCTGAAAGAAAAAGTACCAGAAGAATGTTTACTTGTGTTTTACTGACTGTGCAAAGGCATTTGACTGTATGGGTCATAACAAATTGTAGATAACATTGCAAAGAATGGGAATTCCAGAACACTTCATTGTGCTCATGTAGAACCTGTACATAGACAAAGAGGCAGTCAATCCAACAGAACAAAGGGATACTGCATGATTTAAAATCAAGAAAGGTATGCATCAGGGTTGTATCCTCTCACCATACTTATTCAATCTACATGCTGAGTAAATATTCTGAGAAGTTGGACTATATGAAGAAGAACACAGCATCAGGATTGCAGGAAAGCTCATTAACAATTTGTGATACGCAGATGACACAACCTTACTTACTGTAAGTGAAGAAGACCTGAAACACTTAGTGATGAAGATCAAAAACTACAGCCTTACCATAGTCGCAGAGGACATCAAGCTAAATTGGCATAACATACTATACAAAATATTGTTCCACCTCCTACTTTGGCGAGTAGCGACTGGGATCCTAAAAGCTAGCGAGCTGCCATCTAGATGCAACAATGGGTCTCTCCAC